AACACACTCTCAGAAGAGGGTGGGGGGAAATCAAGGTTTTTGGAATGTAGCAAAAAAAAATGATAAAGCAGAAATTTGGATACTCTTTCCAGCAACAATGGGCTATTTCTCCTTGTTTTTTCACTAAGAAGGCTGACTCCTTTCCTGGCTTCCAGCCCATGGATTACAAATTTACTACAGAGGGAAAAAAGGCAAGCTCGTTTTACTCATTTACTCGTTTTACTCATTTTTTTTAATATTAAATTTTATTTATTTAAAAATACAAACAAAACAAAACAAGTAACAACAAAACATACAGAACAGGTAAACAAAAATTCAATATACATCTTATCAAAGTTGTCGCAACTATAAGAGTCTATGCTCTTATTTGTGCTTTTGACTCCTCCTTGTTTTGCTTTATTCTCTTATATCTATCTTTGTAGTTCACTGTTAACCTGCATTAGTGGTTTGTGTTCCTATCCCTACCACTTTCCCCATACTAGATAACAGTCATGTTCCTCTTTTTCTTGTAATTCTTTTGTGAGTCTGTCCATTTCTGCACATTCCATGATTTTACTAATTATTCTATCTTCTGTTGGTATATCATTACTCTTCCAATTTTGTGCAAAAATTATTCGTGCTGCTGTTATTATATGAATGATTAAATACTTTATTTCCTTTTCGTATTGTCCATTTATTATACCTAGTAGAAAGGTTTCTGGCCTCATTTCTATTCTTCGTTGTGCAATTTCTCCTATTTGTGTTCTAATCATTTGCCAGTATTGTTTTGCCTTTGGGCAGGTCCACCACATGTGATAGTAGTTACCTAACCTTAACCCTTCACAACTTGTGAAGGCAGGGCTCAGCCAAGTGTTATCCTTCTTGATAAAAAGTATCACAAACAACAACCTAATTCTGATATTAAGCTACAATCAGAGAGAAGGGTGAATCTCAAACGATTGCTGAATTAATAAAAATAACTTTATTGTCATTGTACGTATATACACAGTATACCCATACAACGAAATTCACTTAACACCCAAAGGCCAGATCCAACATGCATAACAATCCCCAAACAACCCCCCCACCCACCACAATTCCCCATCCCTAAACCACCTAAACATCCACACAATAGACCAAGTAATGCTGTCCAACAGCTCACTGATGGTGGCCCTTTAGTTCATTGTTGAGTGCAATTATAGGTCTGGGATAAAAACTATTAGAAAACATTTGGTCCGAGTTTTAATTGTTCTTACAATTTAATTGTTCTTACAATTACAAGTGCTGCAAGGAATAGCCGTTCTAAAAGTAGTGATAAATTTCTACTACTGTCTACATGTAAGAAATTTATTACCTGGGTTTGGGAGGGATGTTAGATTTATTTACTCAATTTTGAGGCTTCCCCAAACTCCTCAATAACTCTGGGCAGCATGCAGTTTTTTAAAAAGTGGGGGAAGGGAGAAGTAGACCATAGAGAAGACACCCTACAAGAGGACATTGTTTAATTGACAGGCTCCACAGTGTGCAAACCTTGCCGGTCCTTATCAGAGAGACAGAAATATTCAGAGTCAAGTGATCCCTCTACCAAACAGGCCCTAGGCCCGAAAGGGCTTCATGGGTAATAACCAAAACTTTGATCTATACCTAGAAGCCAACTGGTATATTACAGTGCAGATCTTATTACATCTTTCTCAACTTTTGACAGGCCCAAGACAGTGGTGGGTTGCTCCCGGTTCGCTCTGGTTCAGGCGAACTGATAGTGGTGGAGGCAGGAGGCTCCGCCCACCCGCCCAGACATCATCAAAAACAATCTGTGCATGCGCAGAAGCGCCGCACACTCGCAAAGCGCATGCGCGCACCCGCACACTACCGATAGCAAACCAGTAGCGCCAGGTTTTGAAACCCACTACTGGCCCAAGACCAGAGATGAGACAGCACGATCCACTTGAATTCAATCCTTTATTTGCTTGCACCTAATAGACAGAATCTTGCCAAACTAAAGCTATAACCTTCTAATTTACTAAATGTATCCTGAAATATTCTAGGGTGGGTCTACCCTGAACATCTTCCATCCTCCCCTATCCAGCTCAGGACTGTGCAGTCTCTTATTCTGGCCCTCTTTCTGAGAAAACTGTGTTGCCAAAGGTCTCCTCCACTGCTTCTGTAGGTACACAGTCCATCATACCTTTAGAGAGATGTGCATAGGATGAAACACCAACTGCTTCCCCTCTGAAATAGAGATAGCCTACATGGCCTTATCTAGCTTGTTATCTACTGTTATACATGTTCTGAATGGCCACTTCAACTTGTGTAAACTTTGTATATAGCATAACAACACAACTGGGCACATGATTCCTGAATCCCATTTTCACAGAACATAATTTCACACATCAAAAGAGCCACTTTGATGCCTAAGCACTTAGTCATAGGATGCACCAATTCTATTATGCATTTCAGCTTCTCATAACAAGGTCAGTTTATGGGACAAAGTAATTTCTGTCCCACTGATACCTTCCTACAATATAAAATTGATCAACCCCATGCAAGACAATGAAAAACATTGTCTAGAAAGACCATTCTCAACCTGATGCTTTCTAGATGTGTTTGGAGAAGGACACCTACAATGTGTGAAGCAGTGGTGAAATCCAATTTTTTTTACTACCGGTTCTGTGGGTGTGGCTTGGTGGGCGTGATGTGGCTTGGTGGGCGTGGCTTGGTGGGCATGACAGGGGAAGGATACTGCAAAATCTCCATTTCCTCCCCACTCGTGGGGGAAGAAAATTGCAAAATCTCCCTTCCCACCCTACTCTGGGGCCAGCCAGAGGTGGTATTTGCCGGTTCTCCGAACTATTCAAAATTTCCGCTACCGGTTCTCCGAACTGGTCAAAATTTCCGTTACTGGTTCTCCAGAACCTGTCAGAACCTGCTGGATTTCACCCCTGGTGTGAAGGGATAGTGCACAGGACTAGTGAAGGACACTAACCTGAGTAGCCTACTCTGAAGCTTGCTGAAAGCCTCATTAGCAAATTAATGTAACAAAGCTCTTGTGTTAATACTTCACATGGGGGTAGGGGCAGTGGTTTTGTTCTTTCACAGAAAGTATATATATTTTTTTGTTGTGTACAATAAGCAAAATGCTTTTAGGATCAATAAACACCAGACTGCACATTACCCACATTAGACAATGAAATCATTACACATAGGAGATTGTTGTCTGCATTCTGAGTATGAATTAGTACGTTGCATGTAGCTCCTAACTGATGGGATGCGTGGAGCAGGGTGGTGACTCACAAGGTAGTCTCTACTTTAGAGATCCCAGCTGGTATACAAAAGCAAGCATGCTTGGGGTTGAAAATGACCTTGAGCCACATTTGTGGCAACCAAAACTGACCAGTCTTGGCATTATTGTTAGTAAACAAAACGCTGCATGCAGCTAGGTATGCTGGAGCTAGGTCAGATAATGGGAGCTCACCCTGTTGTGCGGAGCTCAGGTCTCAAACCCAGGCAGTCAGCTCTTCATCTGGCAAGCTCAGCATCTTTAACCGCTGAGCCAATTCGAAAGCCTGCAAATGCGAGTAGATGAATAGGTACGACTTTGGTGGGAATATAAGAGCATTCTGTGCTAATAACTGTGGGTTCAACTGCTGATGGCTGACATATGGAATACTGATTTGGAATGTCAGAAGAATAAATGGTAATGATTTGAGCTATATTTTGTGGGGGGGGGAAAGAGGAGATGGTTCCATGTGTGAGACCAATAAGTACGTACACACAGTTCCATTTGTACGAGCGGCATGCAAGCACGCCTACCGCTCATGCAAATGGAGCGTGCACACACACTTGTCCACTGCTCGCGGAAGTGAGGATGCATCCACCAGCCATTTCTGTGGCCTGGTTGCAATCCCCTCATGGCCCACTAGCTAGGTCAGATAATGTGAGCTCACTCCGTTACACAGAGCTCAGGTCTCAAACCCAGGCGGTCCTCTGGGGTTGACTGCCTGGGAGCCAGGCCGCAGCCCACAAGTTGTGGACCCCTGTTATAGCATATCACATAGACCAGCAGTCAATTGTTTGCAAATAAAGGGGAAAAAAATATAATTGCAAAAAAAATGTAGTCATAAATAGTTCAGACTGAAAGGAGCAGCTAAAACGCAGAGTGATTTTGATGGAAAGAAAAGAATTGTTTTGGAAGTAGATGAAAAAGCCTAAGCAGAGAGTCTCCAGCAGAGTAAATGGAATTATAAATAAAAGTGATGAAATTATTTAGAATGAAATGAAAGGAAGGGAATCCTGGACAAAGTAGTTTAGAGAATTGTATGAGTGTGATAGCGATATGTCAAAGGGTGGAACTGAAATGAATGCTGTAACTATGAATATCAAAGAAAAATATGATGAAAAAGAAATCGTAAATGCTTTGAGAATGCTTAAAAATGGGAAGGCTTGCAGGTGACGATGTTACTTGGACAGTGTGAAAATACTAAAAACTGGATCTGTGTCTAGGACTGGAAGAAATACGTTATTGTTTCCTTATACAAAGGAAGGGTTGTAACAGCAAAACTTGCAGACAAATCAATCAGAATAGAACTGGAAGGGACCTTGGAGGTCTTGTAGTCCAACCCCCTGCTCAAGCAGGAGACCCTATACCATTTCAGATAGGTGGTTGTTCAGTCTTTTCTTTAAAACCTCCAGTGATGAAGCATCAACTACTTCTGAGGGCAAGCCGTTCCACTGGTTAATTGTCTTCACTGTTAGGAAGTTTCCAAGTTGCTTCTCTCCTTGATTAGTTTCCATTCATTGTTTCTTTGTCTTGCTTTTTAGTGCTTTGGAGAATAACTTCACACCCGCTTCTTTGTGGCAGCCCCTCAAATACTGGAATACTGCTATCATGTCACCCCTAGTCCTTCTTTTCTCTAGACTAGCCAAACCTAAATCCTTCTGTTAGAGAAAAATTAATTCTATATAGCTGTGCCTATTGATGGCTTTTGGAATGTACAGATGCGTGGACCAATCAGAGGGCAGCTAGTGTGTTTGAATCTCCAGGGCCCTCCCCTAACTGTCACAGTTAACAGTAAAACAGGTGATTTTTAACAGAAACCTTTGCTCTTCAGTTTGGTATTCAGTTTGCTCTTCACCTTGCTGTTCAGTTTGTTCTTCTGTCTAGTATTGTATTGTATTCTAGGATCTTCCTTTATATAACTGTGAGCAGTCTGGAAGTCCGTTTGAAGAGCAGTTCTGTGGTATATTGTGGTATTTCTTCTGAGGAAGAATATTCATAGATAGCATAGTTTAGAGATAATAGATATGTATATAAATAGATAGCTGACAGTATAATTTATAATAGTAATTTAGTGATGTTTATTGATTGTATAGATATTATTATGTTTTTATTGTGTAAAGAAAAACATTTGCTGTAGACTGCTTCAGAGGCTCATTTGTTTAAGTAGAGTTTCATAGAGATAGAGGTTCACGATTTATTGATTTAATAACCTCCACAACACCTTCAACCGTTCTTCATGTGTTTCTGTCTCCAGGCCTTAAAGGTTGCATCTAATCTGTACTTGTACCTTTGGTTTTTCCTGCCTAGGTCTAACACCTTGCTTTTCTCCATGTTAAATTTCATGTTGTTGGTTAGAGCCAGTGGTGAGTTGCCCCCGGTTCGGACCGGTTCTATAGAACCGGTAGTAAAACCAGCGGGAGGCTCCACCCACTGACCCAGACGTCATCAGAAGCAATCCGCGCATGCGTGCATGGGCACAATGCGAACTGGTAGTAAAGGAAAGTAGAACGCACCCCTGGATAGAGCCCAAGCCTGTCAAGATCTTTCTGGATCCTGAGCTTGTCTTCTGGGGTGTTGGCTATGCCTGCCAGCCTAGTGTCATCTTCTTAAAGGTGCTCAGCAGAATTCTGATCCAAGGAATACAAGAAGTGTCAATGAGCAAAACTTATGAAGCAAAGTGTTTTTACTCATTTTCAAGTCATTAAAAAAACAAGAATATGAAAAATGTGGTTTTATGTCCATTGGTTTAGAGGAAACACGTGATAAAGATTATTCTAGTTTAAAATAAACATTCTGTATTATGTTTAATATGCTTAATGTTCAATGTTGAATTAATGTTTAATGTTTAGAATAAATATTCTCTAATATATTAAATATTCTCTAATAATAAACATACTCTAATATTTCTAAGGATATCTAATCATGTAGTAAGTGCATTACTATTATCCTTCTGTTCTTAGTCCTATTGGTATCTTATGATTATCACTTGTGGGTATATCTTCTGATTTATTATTATATCTTCTGATTTATGATTTATCATTTTGTTGATCACTTTGTTGCTTGTATGTATACTGAGAGTGTATGCACCAGAGACAAATTCCTTGTGTGTCCAGTCACACTTGGCCAATAAAGAATATTCTATTGTATTCTATGTTTGGTACAAATATAAATTTGAAAGTTGGTTACTGAACACAATAATAGCAATAAATTATAGATGAAAACACGTATGACCACCAATAAACTGTTTAGCAAATGATTCAGATTGAGCAGGAGATAAGACAAGAATATACAATGCCCCCTTAATTGTCTACTGAAGTTATGAATAAATCGTAAAACGTACTCGTGATGGTAGCTGACATGTATTAAGAACATGAGCATATATATATATTTGTATGCATATGATGCAAATTTTTTTGGCTGAGAGCCCAAATTATTTGCAGTGAATGTTAGAATGCCTGATAGAATAAGAAGAACAAAATTAGTTTACTGGAAAAAAAGATAGTTGTGTTTGTAGAGAAAAATAGATGAATTTGTGTACCTTACTTGGTTGTTTATTAAGGACAGAGAAACACAAAAATTTAAAGCCTGCAAATGTTGGTTAAAAGGCAAATGCAATCTCTTGTCAAGAATGAATGTTGTGCTATCCATGAATATTTTAACATCTTGACTTGCTCAATACAAAATCTATTGATTTTGAAATTACTGTATATTCAGGTTCTTGGTGAGCACTTTTGTTTTAGGATAGTTAGTTCTCTTCCTCTTTGCCTCTTTATTTATTATCAGTGCTTTGCATTATTTCAGACATCTCTAATTAGTTTACCAGCAAGACTGTGCAAATGTATAGCCATAGCAGTGGTGGGTTTCAAATTTTTTTACTACCGGTTCTGTGGGTGTGGGTGTGGTTTGTTGGGTGTGGCAGGGGAAGGATACTGTAAAATCTCCATTCCCACCCCATTCTGGGAGAAGGATACTGCATAATCTCCATTCCCTCCCCAATCCAGGGAAAGGTTATTGCAAAATCCCCATTTCCTCCTAATCAGCTGGGACTTGGAAGGCAGAGAATAGATGGGGGCGGGGCAGTCAGAATTTTTACTACCGGTTCTCCAAACTACTCAAAATTTCTGCTACCGGTTCTCCAGAACTGGTCAGAACCTGCTAAAACCCACCTCTGAGCCATAGTTATTTTAAATCAATCCATCAAAAATAAACTGCTATAGTAACAATAAAGTGCTCTATGACATGAAACAACAATTCATCACTCATTCAGGAGCCTCTGTCTATGCTTACCTTGGATCCCAAATATCCTTTGAAAAACTGTCTGACTGCTTCACCCCCATAAACACCACTGTGTACTTAGGAAGGAACCAAAGTATCTACAAATGATAGCCTCAGTTCCCAACCTTTGTATCTAGCCCAGAAGGATACTATTGTTTATAACATGAAAGGCCACTGAAAGAGCCCGCAGGAAAGTGTCAGCAATAAAATCTAATAGTCTCACACTCACCCCACCCACAACCTGCCATAACTCATCAACAAGAAAAACCAACTCTGACGTCAAGACTTTAAAAAAAAAAAGGACCAAGTAGCATCAGAGGATTATTAAAATCTGAGGATTTCAAGCTCTTAAGACATCCATAGCAGGCCTCAAAATGGCTTTATAAGCACTTCAACAGCACCATTGAGCATCACTCTGCTAAACAACTAATTCCCACAACACTGTCAAATTATTTACTAAGACTGTATTACTATTATTCTTCTCATCCTTCCTAGTACCTATCTCTTCCCAGTTATGGCTATAGCCATGTTGCTTGTATCTTTACAATTTATATTGTTTTATTTGTTTCCTAGTACAATTTGATTGCTTATTAGTAACCTTGACTATCACTAAGTGTTGTATCTTATGATTCTTGATGAATATATTTTATTCTTCTTTATATACACTGAGAGCATATGCACCAAAGACAAATTCCTTCTCCAATCACACTTGGCCAATAAAGAATTCTATTCTATTCTATTCTATTCTATTCTATTCTATTCTATTCTATTCTATTCTATTCTATTCTATTCTATTCTATTCTATTCTATTCTATTCTATTCTACTCTACTCTACTCTACTCTATTCTACTCTATTCTACTCTACATATTGTTGAACTCAAACATCTTCAGGCAGTCTTGGATTTCAACATATTGTATAATGATTAATAGGTAGGGTAAATTGCAATCTGTTTTACATGTAATCTGAAGCTGCATAACCAATTTCCTTTCCCTTCCTCCCCTTGCCAGTCTTTTATTTCGCCAAGAAAAGCACATGAATATTCAAGACAAAGTTACTGACATGGTCTGGATGATGACCCTCTCAGGTTAGATAGTACTTTACACGCTGTGGAGTTGAAGTTCTTTTGGAGTACTAAAGTGTTTATGACGTGACTAATGAAAACTGTCCAGGTCCTGAAGATCCTATGCAGAAAAAGAAAATCCAAAGCTGCCAAGAAAGAATTGTAGTGGGAACATGGGACATCGAAAGAGCAAACATGGAATAGCTTAATGGAGTGAAAGATGAAATTAACCAACCACAGGTTGACTTCTTAGGCACCAGCAAATTAAAATGGACTGGACACTGTGAGAGAGATGATTACAAAACAAAGAAGTAATAGTATTGATTTCTTAAACAGTAGGACATCGCAAAGATAGTACTTTAGGCATAATGCACTCAAGGATTAGATGTAGAGGAGATGACCAGAATCAGCCTGAGGGAGAGGTCAAAAGCGTCATCAGCCTCGAGTCTCTGTGCACCCACAAGAGATCTAAATCCAGCCCAACTTGAATTCCATTGACTCTTACCTACTACCAATTTGCTTTGACCGTTAGAAGTTCAGATTCTTGTAGAGAGCTTAAGCTTACAATAAACCTATATATTCACTTCAAGAAGCTAGACTCCTGATTTCCCATGTTTGACAGTTAATAGCAATTAGAATAATAGCAATAGCACTTAGAGTTATATACGCTACACAGTGCTTTACAGCCCTGTCTAAGCAGTTTACAGAGTCAGCATATTTTCCCCAACAATCTGGGTCCTCGTTTTACCCACCTTGGAAGGATGGAAAGCTGAGTCAACCTTGAGCTGGTGAGAATTGAACTATTGAACTGCTGGCAGTCAGTGATCAGCAGAAGTAGCCTGCAGTACTGCATTCTAACCACTACACCAAGTCTAATGTCAAATAGACTTCACAAACAACCCTTTTATATGGCGATTATCCAGATTTATGTTCCAACTAATGATGCAGGGAAAAAAAGTCCACAAATTTTATGATCAACTTCAACTTAAAATTGACAAAACATGCAAGCAAGATGCACTCTCTCTCTGTGTGTGTGTGTGTGTTAAAAACTGGAATGCTAATGGTTCTTAAGTATAAAATGTACTTGAAGTATATGTATGGCCTAAGAAACATAAATGAAATGGGAGACTGATATTCTGCCAATCCACTAATCTCCTCATTCTTAACATAGTTTTCAAATAACTAAAGCGATGTCTACATGCATGGACATGACCAGACATAATACACAGAAATCAAATTGATTTTATTATTGATAGAAGGAGACGGAAGAGCTAAATTATAATAGCGAAGATGTGCTGGGGCCTGATTCAATGATCTTCAAGTAATGAAAGTTACAATAAAATGAGTTTGATTTAGTATAAAGAAAATGATAGGTATAGCAACAAGGTTGAGAATTGATATTGAAGACACTGAAGTTTCTGTATTTTAGAATTGATTGTCAACAATAAAGAAAAAACAACCCAACATTCATGGAATATGACACAACTAGTATTTGGTACAGTAGTAATAGGGCTGGAAAAAGAAATTCAGATGTATGTAATGTCTATACCAGGGGTCTGCAACCTTAAACACTCAAAGAGCCATTTAGACCTGTTTCCCACAGAAAAAAAACAACACGGAGCCACAAAACCTGGGTGGGCGTGGCCAACTCAATGCTACTCACTTCTACCAGTCACATGACCCCCCCCAGCCAGTCATTAGGGCAGAGAACCAGTTGTTAAAAAACACCGGGAACCACAAAACCTTTTTGACATCTCTCTCTCCCTCCCTCCCCCATCTCTCCCTCTCTCCCCACCTCTCTTTCTCTGTATCTCTCTGTCTCTGCCCCAGCCACTTCTCCATCACCCGCCATCTCCCTTACCTTCTCAGGCCAGGCGAGGAGTGACTGGGAGGGGAGGGTAAGGGGTGGGGCAGCCAGTGGTGGGATCACCCAACAGGGAGCCATAGCAGAGAGCCCAAAGAGCTGCATGTGGCTCCGGAACCGCAGGTTGCTGACACCTGGTCTATACCTTCAGAGATCAGAATCACACAGGAAAATTTTCAAGGAGAACATCAGGAATTGTTTTGAAGTCCAGAACATAATTAATAAGAAACCAGAAAAGAATTCTCAGTGAAATCAAAATTGTTAAGGATCAAAGTAAAAAGAGACTGACAAAGATCAAGAAAAAAAGAACAAAGCAAACGAGATTTCAGAACAAATGATGAAAATTGCCATGAGAGAAAGAGAAGCCAAAGTCAATAAAGGGAAAGATCTCAGGAAGGAAATTCTTTATTTCAAAGAGATGTTAGAAGAGATAATAAAGAGTGTTAGAACAGCATCTGTTCCATCTGAAGATTGGAAACAAGACACAAAAAACAAGAGAAGATTCCAAAAGCTGTCTGAATTCAGAAGCAAATTCCAACTTCATCTTGGTATACTAATGGACAAAAAGTAACACATTCAAAGATAAAATAAAAGTGGAAGAAGTATACTGAAGCTCTGGACAGCAGAAATCTCAGCATATCAGATAATTTAGCTTAGAAGATATCCCCTGTATACAACCCCTAATACCACAAGAGTAAGTTAGATCAACACTCAAGTCATTACCAAGTCAAAAGGCTGCAGAAATGGATGGAATAGCTACAGAAATAGTGGAAGCAACAGAAGAAAATTCAGTAAAAATTCTAATCAAACCATGCTAGCAAATCTAGAGAATGTCACAGTGGCCAATAGACTCAAAGAAATCAACCTATATTTCAATACCAAAGGGGGGGGGGTTAACAAATTGCACAAACTATCCCTCAATATGAAGAAAATGGAAGGAGAAGAAAGGGAATGGAGTCAAATGACTGAACTCTAACTAGATATTGCAAATCTCTGGATATTATCATTATAAATACAATTTTACCTCTAAAATGTAGTCTGGCTGTTACGTAGATAACCATACACAAAAGGTGCCAGGTTCTGACCTTCCTCGCCAGCATTGGTCAACTCTGAACAGTCTGCTAGGACTCATTGTTTAAGTGGGGTCTTGTCTCTAACCCTCAGTGTGACTGTGGTGCTCCTTAACAAAATATCCACCACATTGTGTCCAAATGTCCATCAAGAGCTTACATTGGTTCAACATCTGATTTTTTCAACATAGACTACCCTGTTCTTGAATGGCTGGGTGGACATTTGAACTACTATAAGTCCATGTATTTGCCATATGCTAAATAAAAAATAATGCCTTTAAAATGTGGTAAAAAACAACAAACAAAAAACCAAAATTATGGTTTTGCCATTTAAGATTAGAAAAGTAAACCATGGCCAAGCAGGTGAGTAAAGCAACTTGTGTCATTTCATCATTGGACATAGTGATCTATGTCCAAATTAGATGTAGAACAGAATTGTCCAACCTTGACAATTTTAAAATTTGTGGACTTCAACTCCCAGAATTCTCCAGCCAACAATTCTGGGAATTTAAGTCCTCAGATCTTAAAGTTGCCAAAGTTGAATGGACACCCCTGATGTAGAATAATCATTTGAAGAAAGTACCTAGACAGGGTAATAGATCTGAGATAACTCTATTCCCATATTTTACATTTTACCATTCCTCCTCTTGAAGTCAAACTTAGCTTTTCAACTGTCTTTGCAGCTCTAACCCACCCAAACTGAGTATCAAATACAAATCAAAGCTAGGCTACTTCAGCTTCTGAAGCAGTTTTGTCCCCAAATAAATGTGTGCAGAATTGAACTGTGGAGCCGCACATGAACCCAATGCTTGGCCCCCTTGGCTGCTGTATGACTACATCTGCCTAATGCATTGCCAGTTAAATTGGTACCAATTGCAAGTGCAGTTTGTCCTTGTCATTTAAATTACTTGACAAATGGAAGGCTGACAATGACCTATTTTACATGCAGTCTTGAACAAATCTTGTGTAGCAGGTAAGTCTTGAATATGCATCAGACTCTATTGAAGAAACTCACAATACTGTACGTTCTTTGAAGCAAGAAAAATGAGAATACATCACCAGAGACTTTCCCAATGTATAAAAGATAGCATTTATGTGGATAGGGTTGCACGGTGGGGAAGAGACAAGTGAATTCTAAAGAAAAATAAAATGGCTAATCCTTGCATGTCACTTTTGGCCCAATAGGTTTCTAGTGGTGACAATTATTGTTATGTCTGGCTAATGAAAAATGCAGTCCCTGCTAGCCTATTTGCCCACACCAATTTGGAAATGGAAGTCCCTGCGGCCATTAATTTTTACATGCCTTCAGCCAGATTCATCTCAGCCCACATGAGAATAAACGATAAAAGACAAATGCTTTTCTTTATGCAAGAAGCGCCAAGAGTGAGTAATAAAGAGATATCAATTATTCACAGGGCTTCCCAACAGCTTACAATTCCAAGTAAAGAGCCCTTGATAAATAGGTTGTTACTGGGAACCCAGCTGAAGTATTAGCAATTCCTGGTGAAGGCCAAGAAAGAGAACAAGGGAAGAGTGGCCTTCATTGAAGAGCAGAAAGTGGAGGCATCAAGTATGTCAACCCCTCACTCCTGCCTTGAAATATCCTTCCAATATTTGAGGGGCTGTCACAAGAGTCAACATATTTTCCAAAGCACCCGAAAGCCAGACGAGGAATAATGGATGGAAACTGAACCAGGAGAGATTCAATCTGAAAATAAGGGAGAAATTTTCTGACAGTGAGACCAATCAACCAATGGAACAGCTTGCCTTCAGAAGTTGTGGGAGCTTCATCACTGGAAGCTTTCAAGAAGAGACAGGACTGCCATCTGTCAGAAATGGTGTAGGTTCTCCTGCTTGGGCCAGGGGTTGGACTAGATAACCTACAACAGTGATGGCTAACCTTTTCTGGACTGAGTGCCCAAAGCGTGCACACGAACACCCAAAATGCAATGCACACGCAGGCCCTGCACATGCACCCCGGCTCCTGCACATGTACGTGTGCCCCTGCGTGTGCAATGCCCCCTGTGCACATGCCTGTGCTGTGCCCACATGCACTCCGGCCCCCACTCATGCGCGGCAGAGACATGAAGACTAGCTGGCTGGCGGGAGGCGTGCGCACATGCGTGGCAGACCTCAGCTGGGGTGAAAGCTCGTGTGCCCACAGAAAAGGCGCTGTGTGCCCCTTCTGGCATGCATTCCATAGGTTAGCCATCACAGATTTACAAGGTTCTTTCCAACTCTGTTAATCTGTAATCTGCCTTCCTACGGACAGCTGCCAATACAGAATGAGTCATAAACCATAGCATGCTGCTTCCTGTCTAAGGCCACCTGCAATGACTTTGGTGTTGCAAACAAATGGCTTTCCTATCATCAATAATCCTAAAGGTGCTTTTTTCAAGAGGCAACTGGACTTCCTTATTTTTCTTTGAAGATGTTTCGCTTCCCATCCAAGATGCTTCTTCAGCTCCTGAGAGCTCCAGAAGTATAGAAGCTTCTTGGATGAGAAGCGAAACATCTTCAAAGAAAAACAAGGAAGTCCAGTTTCCTCTTGAAAAAGCTCCTTTGGGACAACCATGACATGGATGACTGAGAATCTCCATAAGTACCATCAATAATATGATCTGCTTTAAATTAAAGATGCCTGAGATTGAATTTAGG